TGGATATACTATAGCTCATTCGAAACTACATTAAAAACTGTCTATAAAACTTGTTCTAAGCGGATTCTACAGTAACCCTATCTATTTGAGAAAATTTTTGAAAAAAATTTTTTGAATATTTTTTGGGACATGGAACTCGGAGGGGTGTTTCTCTAAGAATACATAACTTATATGGATATACTATAGCTCATTCGAAACTACATTAAAAACAGCCTATAAAACTTGTTCTAAGCAGATTCTACAGTAACACTATTTATTTGAGAAAATTTTTGAAAAAAATTTTTTGAATATTTTTTGGGACATGGAACTCGGAGGGGTGTTTTTCTGCGAATACATGACTTATATGGATATACTATAGCTCATTCGAAACTACATTAAAAACAGCCTATAAAACTTGTTCTAAGCGGATTCTACAGTAACACTATCTATTTGAGAAAATTTTTGAAAAAAATTTTTTATTTTTTTTTGCCCCATGGAACTCGGAGGGGTGTTTCTCTGCGAATAAATGACTTATATGGATATACTATAGCAGTAGTCTATAATCGACTTTTAAGACAAACAAGTTGTCTTAAAAGCCGCTTAAAATTACCATTTTTAAATAAATAATTTCTAAATAAAAATTTTTAAATATAAAAGCATTTAGCTAATTTTTGGAAACGAAAAACTCATAGGTTTGAAACTAATACCAGCGTTGCTTAACTTGCCAGATCGGACGGGTTAGCACGTTTGCAACGCGGTATGATCGAAATCAAGTTATAGCTTTAATTTCATTATAAATAGAATGTATTACCTCATTTAAACAAAAAATAAATTTTTGAATAAAACCAACTGTATTTAATACAATTATAATTAATTTTCAAAAAATTTATAAAAAATTTTTAAATTTTTGATATGTCACTAAAAGCAAAAATAATTAATTTTTGAAAAAGTTAAATTTAAAAATTTTAAATAAAAATTAGCAAAGCAAATAAATATATATTTTTTAAATAATTAAAGTTTTGAAGAATAAATATAAAATTTGTAAAAAATTTTCTACAAAAAATTAATTAGTTAAAAAATATATATCTCTTTAAAAATTTTTAAATAAATGAATAATTTATAAACACCAATTTTTGAAGGAAAAAATGAAAGAAAAAAGAGAAAAAATAAATAAATTTTTAAACAATTTTTAAATAGATATACAAAACAAAAAGGAAGAGATAAATATGAAGTTTTTTAAACAATTTTTAATAAATAATGAAACAAATCGGAAAAAATATAAGGGAAAAGACTAGATAATTATAAACAAATTTTTTATTAAGGTTTAAAAGTCACTAAAAACCAAAAATTGTACAATAAATATAAATGATTAGGATTAAGAAAAAAAAAAATTTGATATTTTATCAGTATTGTTCATTTCTCATTTTTGCTTTTAGCGACATTTACACTTTAAATAAAAAATTTGTTTATAATTATCCACCCTTTTCCCTTTTATTTTTTCCTTTTTGTTTTGTATATCTATGTAAAAATTGTTTAAAAATTTATTCATTTTTTCTCTTTTTTCTTTCATTTTTTCCTTCAAAAATTGGTGTTTATAAATTATTCATTTATTTAAAAATTTTTAAAGAGATATATATTTTTTAACTAATTAATTTTTTGTAGAAAATTTTTTACAAATTTTATATTTATTCTTCAAAACTTTAATTATTTAAAAAATATATATTTATTTGCTTTGCTAATTTTTATTTAAAATTTTAAAATTTAACTTTTGCAAAAATTAATTATTTTATTTTTTTAAATTTTATTTCTTCAAAAATTAATTATTTTATTTTTTTAATTTTTTAAATTTTATTTCTTCAAAAATTAATTATTTTATTTTTTTAATTTTTTAAATTTTATTTCTGCAAAAAAGTATTTTATTTTTCAAAAATTTAATTTCTGAAAAAACATTTATTTATTTTTTAGAAATGTAAAAAATTAATTATTTTATTTTTTAAAAATTTTAAAATTTAATTTCTGCAAAAATTAATTATTTTATTTTTTAAAAATTTTTAAATTTAATTTCTTAAAAAATTAATTATTTATTAAACAAAAAATTAATTATTTAAAAGTATTTCTTATAAAATTACTTGATTGAAAAATTATTTCTTCAAAAATTAAAAATTTTAATTTTTTAAATTTAAAATTTAGTTTTCTTCAAAAAATTTTTATTTAAAGTTTTTCTTCAAATATTTAGAAAAATTAATTCCTTCAAAATTAAATATTTTTATTTCATCAGAAATTTAATACTTGATAATCTTTTTTCAAAAAATTAATTAATTAAAAAGAATTATTCAAAAATTTTAAAAAATGTAATCAAATGAAAAATTTTTTATTCCAATAAAAATTAAATATTGAAAAATAATTTCTTAACAAAAATATTAAAATTTTTTAAAAAATTAAAAAATGTAATTCATTCAAAATTAAATATTTCTATTTCATCAAAATATAAAATAATTATTCAAAAATTAATTATTTAAAAATAATTTTTCTTCAAAAAATTAAAAAATTTCCTTTAAAATTTTAAAAATATTATTCTAATCAAAAATTAATTTGAAATAATAATTATTTAAAAATCTTCCTACGAATTTAAAAAAACTTTTTCTTAAAAATTAAGTACGCAAAAAGTATTTTAAATAAGTTTTTTTCTAAAATTTTAAAAAGTTTTTTATCAAAAATTAATTAGCATAAAGATTTTTTCTTCGAAAATTAATTATTTAAAATTATTTTTCTCAAAACCATTTATTTAACAATTTTTCTCGAAAAATTTAAATTAAAATTTGCTATAAGAAATAAAATTATTAAAAAATAAAAGTAAAAAATTTATTTTAATACTAAAATTTATATAAAATTAAAAATTTGAAAAAATTCTGTTCAAAATTTAAAAAATATATTATAAATAATTGAAAAATTTAATAAACATTGAAAATTTTAAAATTTCATAAAATGTTAAAAGAAAATATGTTCTAAAACTTAATTAAAAATTTACTTTAAAAGTCAAATAATAAAAAAATGTTAATAATTAATTCAATTTATGTTGTTAAATTATTTAAATATTATAATAAAATAAAAAAAGATTTAGTTAAAATTATTTTTAAATTAAAATGAAACTAGATCAACTAAAATGAAGTTTATTAAATAGTCCAATTAATGGACTAAAGTCCAATTTCTGGACTTGCACTATTTTTTTATAATATTTGTTTATTTTTGCAAAAATAATTTATATAATAGACTAAAGAATGATTTCTAATGCAAAAACTTTAAAAAATTTTAAACAATTTGAGAGCAAAATACATCGCTCTTTATAAAATTTTAGAAATTAACGGATAAACAGTATAAAATTACAATTAAAAAGTGTTTATAATATTTAGATCGCATCCTTCAATAAACACATTTGATATAAACAATCGTTTATTTATTGCCGTGTACTTTGGATTCTGAGCACGAAAAACCCATATAAAAGGAGCCAGAAATTTTAAATTTTATCATTCATTAATTTTCTCCTTTCCCCCCATTTATAAATAAATTACATAAATATCCTTTAAACAATATTATTATCACACCCATTAAATTATTTAGCCTCAAAATATTTTTGAAATCGCTTTTTATTTAGATTATTTACCTCACATTAAATTTAATTAAAAAATCAGTTATACCCCTCACACTTCTTAAAATTTTCTATCATTAGGATTATTCTTTATGGATGTAATTTAAAATATTGTTAATTAGTAGTAAACCCCGGCCCTCATATATTTTAAAAATTTTCAATTAGTAGTTGCCTTATATTTTTTAAAGTTTTCATTAAGTAATTAATCGCATCATAATTTGAATATTTCTCAATGCTTAGTTAAACCCACATCTCATAATTTTAAAAATTTTCAATTAGTATATAAAATTTTCAATTAGTATTTCATACTTTTTAAAAATTTTCAAATAGTAGTTACCTTGTGTTTTTTAAATGGTTTCAATAAGTAGTTAACCCCTCCCCCCATATTTTAAAATTTTTCTAATTATTTGTTAACCCTCCCTCCTTATAATTTTAAAAATGTCGCAATTAGTAGTATCAGTAGTACACCTTTTTTAAAACATTTTTGAAAAAAGTAGTTAAACCCTTGGCCCCTCATAATTTAAAATTTCTCTAATTATTAGTTAACCCTCCCTCCTTATAATTTAAAAAAGTCGCAATTAGTAGTAAACCCCGCCCTTCATACTTATTAAAAATTTTACAATTAGTAGTATCAGTAGTACACCTTTTTTAAAAATTTTTGAAAAAAGTAGTTAAACCCCTTGGCCCCTCATAATTTTAAAAAGTTTTCAATTAGTAGTAAACCCGGCGAGCATATATTTTAATAAGATTACAATAAGTAGTAAGCCCTCCCCCCCCCCTAAAAATTAGTTACCTTATGTTTTTTACATGGTTTCAATAAGTAGTTAACCCTCCCTCCTCTGAATTAAAAAATTTTAATCAGTAGTTAATCCACCGCCTCTTAAATAAGTAGTAACCCTACCCTTCTCATATTTTTTTAAAAATTTTTCAATTAAGTAGTAACCCTGCCTACCTCATTTGGTGAAAAATATTCCATTAAGTAGTAACCCTGCCACCCTCCTATTTTTAAAAATATTTCAATAAGTAGTTACCCCCTACCCACCGCATATTTTTTAAAAATATTTCAATAAGTAGTTACACCTCTACCCACCTCATTCTTTTTAAAGATATATTTTTTTCAATCAGTAGTTTTACACTTAAAGTTCTAAAACATTTTTTAATATGAGTTGTAACACCAATCTAAAACATTTTCATAATAGTTAAACCCCGCCCCTTGTACTTTAACTTTGCCACTTTTCGTTTTATATTCAAATTTATTAAGCATTTTTATTTAATAGCTTTTATTTTGATAAATTTTATAGATTTGCAGAAAATGGATCAAACCGTGGATTTCAATTCCCGCGTCAATAATAAAGGTAGATGATAAAATTGCTAAATGTTTAATTTACATATGGCATTATTATCATTTACAGAAGCAATGATTACGAACGACAGGGATGGAGATACTCGTAATATGCTTAATGATGATTGTTCTGCGAAGGCCGTAACGCCAATAGAAGGTGGGTGATTTTTTACATATTTCTTATGTTAAAGGAATTTTAGCTATAACTATTGCGGAGATGGAAGAAGTTCGTGCTTTCATAATTGAACAGCGAAAGAAGAAGGAAGCCGCTGAAGCGCGTTGGAGACGCTCAATCACAAAATCAAGTACTACACTAAGTTCAGTATCTTCCAAAAGCAAGCCGCCCTCCGCAAAAAAGATGCAAATTAAAAAAGTCAAAAAAGCTTGCCATAATGATGGAGTGATAAAGGTAAAAAATTTGAATGTTATTTCATAAATTCAAAAAATTAAGGCAATTGTTGAGCGTAGCAAAAATGAAGAAAATATTGAGCCCGTTGATGACGTAATAATGGACTATGAGGATGAGGAGGATGATTCTGAAGATCCAGACCCCAATGAAATCGTTGATTTAGGCGATAATGAGGAAGAGTACAAGAAAATGAAATCTGAGCGTTTGTAAACATTTATTTTATAAATAAAAGTTTCAGGTCAACAACGTGCAATGAATTTTGTGCCAGAGGGAGTCCTCGACCGTGCACAAATTCTCAAGGAGCCGCGCAAAGGTCTGTTCATATACCAATGCAATGATTGTCGCGAAGATCAAAAGAAGAGAGAATACTTTCTGTTCAAATCCGGCAGTTCAGATAATGCAATCCTTACAATCGAATTGTGCGCTGAGGATTTGGACAAAAATATTCTGCTGGGGATGTATTATTCAGGACCTTGGGGTAAATTAATATTTTAAAATAAAAAACAAGTTTTTTGAAGGACAAACAACAAAGAATTTTAAATATGATCAACAAACATCGAGCTTTGAAAAAAGTATAGAATTTTGAAAAATTTTTAATATTTATTTTTTAGTTGCGGGAGTTTTTTATACTCGACGAGGACCGAACATTGCTACAGGAAATGACAACAAACTTTTAAGCCTGTTGAAACTTTGTTGGATCCTGCACCAGGTATTATTTCTATGAAAATAAACAATCTACTCTAAAATTTAGTGTGAATATTGTAGCCGTTTACAAACGTCTCTTGCAAACGACTTGTTTTTGCAAAAATGTGGTGAAAAATATGAATTGAACTTTATTGTAAGTTTTATTAAAAAACTAATTAATAAAGATATTTAGCTTTGTCCTATATGTTTGGCAGCAAACAAAGAATTTCATCAGAAAACATATAATTTATTCAACACCTTTAACAAGAACAAATGATTACAATATATCCTTTTGTTGAATAAAATTTTCTATTATTTTATGAATTCTATTAACGGCGTTTTTTCGCTTATATTTTCAATTATATTTCTTCCTTTGTTAACTTTTATTTTAGCTGAAAATATCAATACGAATTTGGAAAAATGTTTGATTAATTTCCTTTATATTATAAAAGAAATATTCAGATGGATCGAGATGCGGCCATTGTTGAAATTGAAACCCTGAAAGAGAAACGCAAGCAACTAGCTCAGCAAATGGAGGCGTTTATGGGAATTGAATTTGATGAAAAACAATTGAAAGAGGATTTGTATGCCGCATTCATTAAACATCACAGAAAGCAATTTCCTCAAATTACAATTGGCCGAATACACGAATACTTTTTGAAGCAACGAAATGCATTGGGAAGACAGGTTATTTTAAAGACATGAAAATTAAATTAAATATTTTCAAGGCGATTGTCGATGTTGTAAAGGATGAGTTATACACGGCACTTGGGAATCCAAATAGTCAATTTTGGGGGCAAATAGATTTGGAAACGGCCATTGATATTTGTTGTTATGCGCGATACATAGATCCAAATAAACGCAGAGGTATCTTTTTTATTTAAATTTTTTTGTAAATTTGGATTTTCAGAAAATTCGCCGGTTATAGTCATGAATGATATAACCAAACGTGTTGAGTCGCAACTTAACATCAATGAAGAAGGTGAAGGCAGTTCTGGGACTTTTAATATGGAACATGGAGTTTCGGCTATGACCAGCGAGGATATGCAGACAGAAGATTGGTGAAAAATATTGTGATTTGTGTAAACATTATTTTGATAGAATAAATAATATAAAATTCATTCATTCTTAATTTAGCGTTAATTTCGCAGTTATATTTTAAATAATTAATTTTTGTGCTAATTTAAATAATAGATGAGTCGCTCAAAAATTGGTGGTGAATTTCCAATCAAACATTTTTACAGTGAAGAAGTATCTGAGAACATCAAAAGCACAAAATTTAAAATAGGAGTTTTTAGGTATAATAAAAATTTTTATTAATTGAATTATAAATTTCAGAACTGTATTTACAGTTAGGAATGTCGATGATGCACCAGAGGGCAGTGATAAACTATTAGAAGATTTGGTAGATCACTTTCTTGCAAAGGCCGACAACGCTTCAGGTGCAAAATCTGAGAAGTGTTCAATTATAATAAGAAGTTCTGTTCTTGAAAAACCCATTCAAATTCCATATAGAGGTCTTGCTCAGAATACTCCTCAGGTTGTTATGGAACAATTTGATGCCGTTGATCAAAGTGGAAAACGCATGGGCAGGCCTTCTCTATACAGTCAGCCTATACATATTGAGGTAAATATTATTCGGTAATAATTAAATAAATTTTGTTTAGATTGTTATGGGTCCTTCGCATGATGAGGCTCTTGAATTATTAAAACAAGGCCAGGGAGGATTGGGCAGGAAGTCGAGAGAAATTCACCAAGGAGTTGACATCAACAATCTGATTCCTGTAATTAATTTCTATATTCATTAAAAATTATAATATTTAGGTCCACAACGAAACTCTTAACCGGCCAGCCAACGTTCATTGTTTACTTCTCGCTGTTCAACTTAAAATACTACATGTCAACCTAGATAAGACAATTTTGGCGAATAAAAAATTTCAAAGACTTGTAAATGGACAAAATAAAAATGCCAGATTCAAGCGTGAATTTTTGATTAAAGAAATGCTGCAGCATCTATTCAGATATGGAATCCGCTATCCTACTTGCGCTCCACAGTATACGGTTGAAGAGCATGTTCCAATGTTACAACGTTATCTGAATTTGCGTTTTCCTGGCAAATACAGAATATCTATCTTTGGAGAACGTGGAAAATTGCGGCCATTATGGAAAGGAACGGAAAGGGCAGAACATGAAATTGCTTTATATTTAAAGGATGAACATTATTATGGAATCAGAAATGTTAATGCACTTTTTGGATCATATTATTGTATTGACTGTGAGGCTCCTTATTCTAAGAAAATTGATCATCGCCAAAAATGTGTGGCTAGTGCCCTCGATGTTGTGGGATGGGTTTTGGATTTCCATGCAAAGTGCTTGAAAACTTTTCAAAAAAATGTTTACAATGTTTAAATATATTTAAAAATCCTGACTGCTATAAAAGACACATAGAGAAAGGAATTTGCAAGATCTTTAAACGGTATTATTAAATAGTATAAATTTATAACAAACTTTGTAGATGTGAGGAATGCGGACATATCTATCGTGTAAAAAAGGTCAAAACACAAAAATCCGAAGGCGAATCAACAGATGAGTGTGAAGAAAAGGACAACGGGCACAAATGTTTTGTTCAGTTTTGTTCTCTCTGTCTTTCCTATCACAAGCTCGAAGAACAATGTTATGTGCAACCAATTATACCAAAACATAATAAAGAATATTTATTGGTATTTATTTCATAATTTTGAGAAAAAAAAGTTTTAGATTGTCTTTGACTTTGAATGTGAGCTAATTTCTCCGACAAAGAATCAAGAATATTGGGATCAGCTGCAAATGGATAACCCTATTGAATACTTACCTAATGATGAAAATTACCAATTACACCATGTCAACTGCGTATCGGTATCTATTTAATATGTATAAAAATATTAATTAAGTTAGGCCTTATTAATGTGTTATCAATGCATAATCAATGATAATTGGAAAAATGAGAGAACTGGTTTTTGCAAAATTTGCGGGTTTGATAAGCCAAGGATGAGAACTTGGACATCTGCAGACTTTGCAAATCCTTTGCGTGAATTTTTGGAATGGTTGATTAATGGATTGGGGAATAAGCGAACTGGGAAAACATATGCTATTTCACATTATGGAGGGTTAATTTAATTATATTTCATTTTCGAATTATTAATTTTAGTCGATATGATATGCATCTTTTATTGGGGGATCTAATCAAACATTTTGGAATTGAGCCAAAAATAACCAGAACTGGAAACAAGCTCTACGAAGTTTTAATTAGGAAACAACGAATGCGCTTTCCCCATATTTCGTTTCGTGACTCGTACAACTGGACGATGCTTAAATTGGAACAACTCCCCAAAGCTCTTGCACTTGAAATCGACGAAGGGGGAAAGTCCTTTTTCCCTCATGGCTGGAATTTCAACAAGAATATGAATGTTCGGCTTAACGGGTTGCCTGACCAACAATATTATTACCCCAATTCAATGGCAAAAGAAAGGAGAAAAATGTTTGAAAAATGGTATGAAGAAAATAAAAATGTCTCATTTTGCCTTCGTGAACAAATTGTCGATTATTGCGAACAAGATGTACGTATTCTTGCTCATGCTCTTGTAAAGCTTCAACGCCTTTTCTTTGCATTAGCTACAGAGCCTGCAAAGCGCGATGACGTGCTTGTAAATTCAATGACAATTGCAAGCGCTTGTATTCGCCATTTTTGTATGCTTTTAAACCTAAATGAATATATTAAAAATTTTAAGGTATAAACTATTTAAAAGAAAGTCAAATGGGTATTATTCCCGACAATGGATATCATAAAGATACAAACCAATCTGCAATCGCTTTAAAATATCTTCGATGGCTTTCTGAAAAAACGGGTCTTCTAGTTCAACATCGAGAAAGCCCGGAAGGAGAAAAGAGGGTACGTGTTTCCGACAGAAGTCTTTTACGACTGGATGGGTATATTAAAAGCACTCATGGCGGATGGGACCAAGCAATTGAATTCCTTGGATGTGCTTGGCATGGACACGAATGGTAATTAAAATTTTATTTTAAATCAATCCTTTTTTAGTTTATATCGTCCACATGAAATTTGTCTAAATGGAAAGACCGCACTGTATAATAAAGATAAACTTGATGAACGTATTCGATTGTTGAAGGAAGCTGGAATTTGGACTATTCCTGTTTGGGAATGTGAAGTAATGAAAGACCTTGAAGAGTGCCCTGAAATGTCTCGTTTCTTTGATAAATTACCAGATATTGGTCCTCTTTATCCTAGAGATGCTTTTCATGTATGATTTGTTCAATTCATGATTAATTTCTAAATTAAGGGAGGAAGAACAGGTCCTCTTTCGCTTAAATGTGATCTAGAAGGAACTTTTGAGAAGGATTATGAAATTTCTTGCTTTGATGTTGTCAGTCTTTATCCTGCAGTGAATTTTTACGCCTTTTATCCAATAGGTGAATTCTAATTATTTAAACAAAATTGTATTTTTATTAGGACATCCAAAGGTTCTGGAGCTAAATAAAAATGTAAATTGGACTAAACCTGAAGACTTACATCTATATAGAGGACTGTTCAAGCTTTTCATAATTCCTCCAGATGACTTATATCTCCCAGTAATTCCTGAAAATATTCATGGAAAATTGGTAAATATTTTTTAAAAATTTTCATCCATCAAAAAACAGATCTTTCATCTATGTCGTAGTTGTGCCGTGGAAGCATCGCCTGGTTTAGCAATACGGGCAAACCGTAAATATAGCAAGGAAATAGGTCATGAATGGTGTCCGCACAAAGATGATGAACGAGGATTTGTTAGCACAACTTGTTCAGTAGAGCTTGAACTTGCTTTGAAAAAAGGATACCGCGTGACTAAAGTATACAGCATTTATCATTGGGAACAGTGGTCAGACACTTTGTTGCGGCCTTATGTTCAGGATATGATGCGTCTAAAAATTGAGGTTTTAAATATTTTTATATTTATAAAATTTTATTAGGCAAGCGGTTGGCCGAGTAGCGTAATAGACCCTGGCAATCCTGAGATCGAGGATCAGCGGAAAAAAGAATTTATTGAAAGAAACCAAAGAGAATACGGAATACATTTAGATCCAACGAGGATAGAAAGAAATGAAGGGATGCGTTACCTTGCGAAAACTTGCAACAATTCAATGTGAGAAAAAGTTTAAATTTGTTCTAATATTTAAATTAGGTGGGGACGATGGGCACTGAGGTGTAATTTATCTCAGGTATTTTTTGCTTTCAATTTGTCAATGAAATTTTTTAGGATTGTATAACTAGCTCTCCTGTCGAACTTCATACCATTCTCAATGATCCGAAACTTGAACTTGGTGCAGTAGAAATGTTGGCTCCAAATCTTTTTTCCGTTCCGTATAAGCATCGTAGAGAATTTGTACGTCCACACGACAAATATAATATTGCAATAGCATTAATTACAACTGCAACAGCCCGAATAATGTTATATGACTATATGGAAAGAATTGTAAAAGAAAAAGATTGCAAGCTGTTGTACACAGACACGGATAGTTGCTTTTATTTGCATCGACGTGGACAAACACCTCCTTTCCGTGTGGGTGAGATGCTAGGTATGATGGATCGCGAGTATGGTGATTGGAATATCATTGCATTCTATACTGGGGGATGCAAGCAGGTATAAAACTAATTTTAAGTAAATGCAATGAAAATGAAGAATTTTTCAGTATGCAATGAAAATGAAGCACAGAAATAGTGGTGAAATTAAATTTATTGTAAAATGCCGCGGTTGCTGGGACAAAGTTGACTCCCCTTTAGACTTTAAACAATTCAAGGTAATCTTTTAACCGTTTTCTAAATTTAAAAAAATATTTAGAAAATGGTTGAAGCGTATGGTGAGGAACAGGAGCCTGTCATTCTCGAGAGAATACATTTTCAGCCAAGTTGGAGGAGAGGGGAGGTTACAAGCAGATCTCAAAAAAGGTATTAAATATATTTTTTATTACTATAAATTCCTAAATTCAGACGATATGCTCCAATCTACGACAAAGGAATAGTCGATGATAATTTTGATTGTTATCCTTATGGATACAGAGGCGAACCACTTATTAACCCCATATATCTTGAATAAATTTTAATTAAAAATTTTTTCTTAAATTAAATGTTTTAATACAAATATACTTTTATTAATCCAATTAACAGATAATTTCAGATTTGGTTCTTTAATACAGAGTTGATAAAAATGACTGACAATTTAGGTTAATTTAATTTATTAACTAAATTCATATTAAAAATTAAGAAATCACTAGAGGAATGTTAGAGAATTTAACAATAACTTCAAAGAATATTTGCATCAAGACTACACCGCTAATCAAACTACTCTGTCAATTCAATGGAGGATGTGTACCTGAATTACTTAATTGTAAAATACGAGATAATTACACCGAAAATCTAAAATTCATACAATCTCTTGCAAACGAAGATATCTCAGGAATTGGGCAAAAGGAATTTAACAAAAACAGCATATTTCCTGTAAAGAGATTTCTAGTTACAAACCATCTTAAAAATCGTTTCATCGAAGTGTATCCTAAAAATTTTACGAGTATGGGATCTGATCGAACTCTCGCTCTTCGAGGATTTTTATCCATAACAATAAGGTTTTTTCTTTCTTTAATCATATTATATTTCAAGACAATTCTATTATGTTCGACACTACGTTAATCTTGTTTATCCTCATTTGCCTCTTGTGTGTATTAAAGGAGGAGGAACTCATGAATACTATTACCCTATCGAGTGCTTGGACTTCGTTGAAATAGAGGAACAAATCTAAAATTATTTTTAGCATATTATCATGAATAAATATTTTTTTAGAATAATTTTTAAATAATTGTTTTATGCATTCTATCTATATTGATTGTTAATACTTATTTTAAGTTTGCAGAATCAATATGATCAGCGACGTCAATATTGGTACAAAATTATATAGAAAATTAATTATTAAATAATTTAAGAATCCGCTTCACTTATGATGGAACGTCTTCATTTAAAACATGAACAAAATTCTCTACCCCCTGAAGAAATTATTGGGCCACAAAAACAAAATATTTTTATATTCAACTCTCCCAGATGTGGTTTTGACATCCGGTTTAAAACAACATTCACATTGCTTGGCCGGTCATTCAATTCAATTGAACAGTATTTCGTCTGGCAAAAGGCTAGATTCTTTGGAGATTTGGAACTTGCTGCAGAAGTGCTTATGCTCAATAATCCAGTTGCAATAAAACGAATTGGAACTCGTGTGAAAAATTATAATAAGAACGAGTGGAATTCAGTTAAAGACAAGGCAACTATTTATTTTTAATAAAATATTAAATAATATTTTATAGATAATGTATACAGGGCTATGGGCCAA